GTTCAGTCTGTCTCATGAGTTTGAAGATGAAGAAATAACACTGATTAGGTACAGTCCTATTCACTATGTAAATACACTGTATTTTCTGTCTTATTACACACAGAAAGTCTTTTATATCCTTTGATCTGTGATTCTCTCTCCTTGAGATCATGATTCTTAAGTTTCTGTGGGAAAAATATCCTATGCTACAAATCGACAACTTTAAAGAGACTAACTAGTTAGTTAGAAATGATAATCATTTATTATCATTTTTCTCCAACCTTGCCAATTGGTTTCATCGTTGCCAAGGATCTTCTAAAAATACAAGAAAGCCAACCTAATCAGAACTAGAGTTCATGAATCAGACCTTCATTTTTAAACATGCTTCGTTAATTTTAGCGGGGCAATAATACAGAATAAAATCAGATCATTTGATTTCAATGTTTCTTACCAATTTCAAACAGTCTAGAGATTAGAAAGAAATAAATCATGTATTTTTAGAGTTTTAAGCATAAAGAAGTCTCAGTATTTACTATGGAACCATAGATGGTGAAAATATAGGGGTCGAAGCACACGATATGATATAACCCTCTGCAGTCAAGAAGAAAAGAAAAATTATGGTGTGTAATGGTGATAGTTGTATGTGAAACGGAGACAGTAGTGGGATGGTCAAGAATCAAATTACCACAAGCAGTGAAAAATAAAAACAAAGATAAGGGAACATGATAAAGTCAAAATACGCTTGTGAAGGCAAAGAATTCGTTTACGTTATCATTCTATATACAGATTGCTAGTTGTTCTAGCGCGATAGCATCTGTGAAACCAAATAGGTTTGTTTGTCTTTAAGTCACTTCAACTGCTTATCCTGAATCCACAAAAGTTCCTAGCAGTTTGAATACTAATAACTCTTCATTTTGAGCCACGAACATTTATGGACATAACCATAGAATATAACAAATACTGTCCACTCAGTTCATATATAGTCGCATTTCATTATTTGAATAAAAACTGGTGTCGACATCAGTGACCTACTTATTGTCTTCCATAGGCTCATTTGATGAGTAGTTTCTGTTCCTATTCAAGCAACAGATATTTGACAATCAGATAGATCTTCACAAACTCATTGATCAACTTTGCATATAGCAAAGTGACTGAAATAGAGCTTCTGCAAATATTCATCTTTGCGTGCTAACAATGTGTTGTAAAGATAAGTAGTAGCTAGTAGTGGAATCCGGGATGCGCATTTCGTCCTATTTGGGGCTCGTCAGCTGGATGTACCTGCCTCCCGGTGAGTGATGTTGTTCCCACCCATCACATAAGAACTGGCTATCGTGGCTCAATGGTGTAGTAGATAATGCTCTCGCGTTTGTAGTAATCGCTCCCCGAGTCTGAATCCCGGTGGGAACTAAATCACTCACTGGGAGGCAAGTACATCCAGCTGACAAGTCCCAAATAGGACGAAACGCGCATCCTGGGTTCCACTGCCAGCCACTACCCATCATTACTATACATTATTAAAACACAGGCAATATCATGGCATCCGTAGAGGAGCCCATATGCCAACAGAGACTGATCAATTCGGTCCAATCAACGACTGTGTATTACAATGTATTGTTTAGAATAACTGAACTCAGTTATCTTGGTATTCGGTCTTGTGTGAATAAGACACAACATCAACTGGCTCTCTTTCTTCCATTATTTTAAGTGTATTAGTTGAAATTAAAATAAAGAATGCATAGACACTTATTCAAACTGTATTGACCGAGTGAATAACAAGAAATACGTGAATAACACTAAGACACTTGGAGTGGGTATGAATAGCATCTGTTATTCCTCAGTACCTCCTTGAGACAAGAAAATATGCATACAAGACTAGTTCGTGACTCTTATTTCATGAATATATACATTCACTAGGTTAAAGGTTAAATTATTACTTTGGTTAACTGTGGGATAAACTGTCCCATAAGGTTTTTCCTGACCACGGAAAACAAAAAAACTTCTACCTTAGTGGTCGACAGCTTGAAATGTGGATTTCCATTTCGGCTGCTTCCTGTCACATATGTCAATCAATTTTACAGTGAATATTATTTTTCTGTAAAGTTTAATCTAGTGGCGTATATGAGATATTTTGGTAATTCTACAGAATTGTTATCCATACTATGATGAATCAACTTTGGAGTCAATCAGCATAATTGTACCTTACATATACTTCTTTTTAGGAAACCATACATTCCTTTTTAAGGATTGATAACAAGCTGGAACAGTTTCTGTTGATTAGGGTGGCTACAGACCAAGTTATATAGTATAAAATCTGCTTGAAAATGTAACTGAAACAGATTAATCGTTCAATCCATCATGAAAGGCAGATAACTTACTTTTCCTGAAAGTATATACTGTTGCATTACGTTAACGCACAGATTATCAGCTTAAATCTTGTAAATTTCGATGTATAAATTTGTAGCACTTCAAACAGTTCCTGTATTCGAGTATCTTACTATACTTGGATCGCTTTGTTCATGAATAACGAGTTTCTGCAATCTGTTGCAATGAAATGTTTGATTAAATATGTGCGTGTAACTAGAATACGGTGAGTCCCTGTATGCCAAAGTTGTCACAGATATTGGCGCAAAAATAATTAACACAAGCAATAATAAACTGCAAGAATACGGTTTTAGGTGTGATTATCACTCTAATAAACTGCATTTTTATAGCAACTGGTACGTCATACGTTCAGAATCATATAACTGAATTGAAACTAGGATGAGATGAAAGAATTTTCCTATTTCGAAATAAAATGACAGCTGTGTTACGAGATCGAAACGAATATTTGTTCCCAAAGTAGGTCACCTCATCCTAATCAAAATGGAGTTTTTATTATGTTTGAAGAAAAAGTGACTGACAACTAATCACTTGAAGTAACCAAGATGGTTTCAATTGAAAAATTCGAGTTTTGTACCTAGCGAAACTTGTGCATCAGGCCAGTAGTATTACGATTACCACACCATATCCGGTAGATTATTGGAAATTGAATTTTCTGACTATTGACTGATTAAACGGTTTTAAGCACAAACTTCAATACCTGCATTTCATATTGTTTATGCTACCTTCATATCCCTGATAGCGTCTATCAATGGAGTCCTTACATTTTACATTATTCAATTTGGTGTGTATGTATGTGTGTGAGTTTGTATCTCTATGAGTGTTAAGGGATGTGACTCTATGACTTGCAGTTAAGGATTTTAGAGCACTTCTACAATAAATTGTCGAAATCGAGGTGATTGTTTTGAATAAGATATCGATAGCTGACAAGAAATTGGGAACATGTGCATTTGTGGGACAGTTTTATGGATTGATTCGAAAAATGTATTCTAATATGTAATTATTTCACTGATTTCTCAAAGTTATTCTTTATATCATACAAAAACTATTGTCAGTGTACGTATTAGTGTAATCAGTTACCCCCTTTCTTAAATTACGATTGAAAAGAGTAAGAGAATGTTTAGTGGTTGTGATATTGACATTAGTGATTGAACATCGATTTTTTTGCAAAAATTTAAAATGAGCAAACTTTAACTCCCTTGCCACATTATGTTTGACAGTTGTTTAGTAGAAGTATGCTGTTTATTCCATTTCTACAGTTTATTATGAATAAAATAAGATGGATGCTTACTGGCTATATTGGATAATAGATACAATATTCCATCTATTGACAGAAGTAAGAAACATGAACCCTGCGAATTCCAACCTTGTGGCTAAATGGTAATGTGCTTTGCACTAAACCTGGAAGTCCTTGGTTCGACTTCCCATAAAATCATAGATTCTCCCTGTTTTGGAGTGAAAAAGTAGCGGAAAGGGAAAGTATGAAAATTCTCACTAATAGACTGATACCCGTTGAACGAGATATGACAGTTGTAACTTATTGGAAGTGGTGAAAACAGAAATCGGCATATCAAGTCGCTACCCAGCGAAGTATATTCTCGGGTTTCACTGTTAGATTTATACTACTATGCTCCCGACATTGTCTTATTTGACAGACTGATAATTTAGAGGATTAGCCGAAATAATTTAACCTTTTTTGTAGTATAATATCCAATTAGTTCAGTCTATTGAACGTGGTGGACAGTATTATTTAAAATGATCATTAGCAATGAATCGTGCTAAAAAGGTTATCTAATCAATAATATTATATCACTGTGTACTATATCAAATAGACTAATCTAATATGAGATTATGCAGTAACACAGTGCTCAAGGTTTACATAAATGGGTTCATTGTACAAATAATTAGTTCTTGACTAGATCCCTGGATAAGGTCTAGGAAGTACCCCTTTATGGAGCCTCACATTAAAAGGGGAAAGCTCCTCAGTCTTCCCTAGTTTTCAATAATTCTTTGACTGGTATCGCTCTGTGACAAACTATCCTTAGCTCATTTTTCCCGGTTTGTAGATCGAAACAGGTCAACTGATCCCATGCTAGTTGGGCAAACTGTGTGAATTAGTGGGTTTTCGCGTAGACTGCCTGGCTAGGATCCCCTAGAAGATTGGAATCAGTGGTTGAGGAATCTCGGTGACATGGCTGAAAATCTCATACACCTCTGTCTACTTCGATATCAGTCTTTTTCCAGACACTTCCTACTTGCTTGCTACTGTGAAGTGTAGGGATTTGAAACGATGAACTTGTTAACAAGGTTCCACATTGATTTTGTCTGTCTCTCTGTCTATCTTCTGGGTAGGATCTTACTTCATAAATATATTTCTACTTTCAAGCAGCAGTGAATTATCTTACTGGCGGTGGCTGCATGCTCTAAATGTCATTTCACTTCCATAAGCGAAATATTGCAAGTAAGATTCAAGATGCTTATCCGGGACTGGAAAGTAATCAACAGCTGTTGTTCGATGAAGATGATTTTATTGACTGCGATTTTACCTGAACTGTTATCAACCTCATATATATATATATATATATATATATATATATATATATATATATATATATTACTGAGTGTTACCCAGTACAACTTGCCTGTAAAGTCTTTTTTCTCAGCAATGCTGTTAGTTGTGTAAAATGCTAAGTTTTCTCCTGCATCGGTTTCCATGCAATGTTCAAGTTCACTAATGCTAGCCAAATATTCTGCGTATTTTTGAGCATCATTGGCCAATTTTTCATCAAGTATCAGGTCTGGACATCCATGCAAAGCTCGTAAGCTGTAATTGAAGTAATAGTTATGATTATGTCATTATAATTACTATAACTCTGTTTCCTTTAAATTGTTACCCATTCACTACTCACTTCAACCAAAAAAAGAAGTAATGAGTTCTAATTCATATTCTTCTGCGTTTCCAATACTGATGCAAACTTTTCTTGGACTTTTCCAACAATTGTTTTGTCCTTTGAGCTTATGGCTACTTCGATTTTTGGGATGAAATCTTCATGTTTCAGTTGATGCACTGTTACACTCTAGTTAAGTTCTTTCTATACCAATTTTACTACTCTTGAAACTCTTCTCGATAAAACAAAGTGGATTATTAGTCTCTTAAACAGATTCTTAAAGTAAACCTAGATAAAATTACCTGAGTGAAGATTCAACTTCAATTTAATATTGAATCAACTGAAGCCTGAGGATGTCGTTCTTAATACAGCAGTAATATTTATCTCAGCCGACGAAATAACCAATGAATAAGTTCGATAAAATATGCGCTAACGATGAATTAGCAGAAAAAACAAGTAAAAGTTTGGCACACACTGAAGAAGTCTTTAGATAATATTTAGAATGACAGGAATATACTTATCACGAAATCCAAGAAAGTCAGCTAAGTAATTTAAAGAGACAAACTTGATTATATTTGGAGGTCAGTGGGCTTATCTAAACACGGCTGGATGAGGAAGTTAAAAAAATTAATAAATACTACTATGAAAGTGAAGAATAAACTGATGTAATGCACCAAATAAAACCGTTTCTAGGTGAATAATAAATGGTTTGATCGAGTGACTGAAGCCGATGTATTCGGTAGGATTTCTGAAACTATTAAATTTTATAAATTGGCTTATCTTGTTAGACCAATAGTTGACTTTAAAAACACTTCAGTCTGTGAGCTTAATAAATGTTTATCAGTGATATTAGACGAGATTATAAAGGCAACTAAAAGAACACAAGAATGAATATGGGTGGATGCGCATAACTTAATATATAAGTGCACGTCTCCTACAGAGATAGGCGCCCACTGACCAGCACCATATTAGATACCTAAATGTCCAGAAGGTGACATGATATTCATGGCTTTTATTCATAATAACGCCCGCCCTCTAGTGACTCACACAGAACAGACGTTAAACAATTGTGATTTTGTATTCATTTCTTCTACTGTATCCAATTCAGAGACATTGGTTCATTGTCGTTTGAGGATGGTTCATACTAGAATTATCAACTGAGCAACGCTTACAGAATGACTGTAGACTCAGAAGTAGTGGATAGCTATTCACCTATTTTTTAGGGTTCTTCAGAAGTGTATCTGCTTTTATTTACATAATATTAAAAGGAAAGATTTTAGTTTATTTGGTGAACTTATTTCCGTTTGACCAGCATATTGAAATCTAATAATTCACATTTTTCAGCCTCAATTAACTTCCGATATTAACCCATTGTCTTCAATTATCCTAACTTAAAATCCATCTTCACTGTCCGTTATCTTTAAAGGAGTCAATTTTTCTCGCAAACTATCAGTATTACACAACTCGAATTTAAATAATTGCGGTCAGAAGATGAAATAACCCTAGACTAGAACTTAAAAACGGTGTATATTACTTGACGTTTACCTCTGAGCTGATTATAGTTAAACAAAAGTGATTTAAACAGATACCCTGCCTTAGAAAATCTTACACAATAAGCCGTTTGCTTTTGTAAAATATATCACTTATTAATACTTAAACAAGCTGGGATATCGAAACAATGAAATTGTTACTTGAAATTTTTCATAAATGAAGGGTGAGTAGACCTTTAGATTCGAAAGTGACTGAAAACATTATCAACCGAAACTAATAGGAGTAATACACCAAGCTTTATTAGCTTTAAAAATGTTCTAGGTTTATACTGCTGAAATTAAAAACATCTAAAATGTTGGACGGTATAAACTCGCTGATGACATTATATGACTATGTTGTTATGCCATGAATTGACAAAAGTTCGAAACATGATCCTTTAAATTCTGGCCAACTGGTTGGACGGTAATGCATTTGCTGCAGAACATGAAGGTCTTGGGTTTGATTCCTCTCAGTGTTAAAGATTTGGACTGTTATGAAATGCCAAATTAAGAATAAACAAATTTCCAACTGCTGTTTATTTGATGTAGATGTGTGATGAAAACTCTGAAGAACTTTGTTGTGCTTGATAAGGATAATAAGGCAGAAAGATGACCGAAATGATAACATGAACTAGATCAGTTGATATTACATTACTAGTCTGTTGTTCTACTGTTCTAGGTGCAATTGATCACTTTTAGTACAAAGAATAAGTACTGCCTCTATGATTTATGCAGACTACAGCTACTCATCTGCTAGTATTTCATAATACCACTTTATTTTAGTCAGCTCTAATCATCTTAAAACTAAATAACTAATGGTTAGACTCAATTTAATGTTGAGATCTTTCATCAAGTCCGTATAATACGTTGGTTGAAAAGATTGGTTGAATAAAAATTGATAGCATCCAGTGGGCCCAAATAATCTTACCTTCGTTTACTGATCAGATGTATCACACATTGAAATGGCATCATTTTATTGCCAAAAGTCATATCAGAATGACTCGTTGACTTCAAGACTTGGTTTACAAGGTTTTCAGTAGTTGGAATGGTAGAATTTTCCGGATATGTGGAGTATATGTTGGTTGATTCCAGTTCCATGTAGTCGGTGCTGATAAGGTCAATCAATATTTTGCTATCGGTATTTTTCCCCACCTAACTGAGCTAGTTTTAAGCATTTTTCTTCTGTATCACATTCCATTGTGTGATTATTTTTGATGACTGTGTTTTACTGTGTGATAAAACTGTTAGGTAGACTGGAATGGAATAAAATTCTACTATACTATCCAAGTTTCACTCTTACATCTCACCTAAGTTTTAATTCCCCTTGAGCTAGGCTAGCATTCTTTTTGTATTAATGATATTGTGAATTCAATGGGGGTGGATATGCAGATATCTACGCCTTTTAAGATATTTTAGTCGGTAAGTCCAGAAAAGAGGGGTCACTAGTGGCGAAATCTAAGACAAGTATTTTGTCGGTTTTGGGATTCATCAGATGAATATATCTGCATGCTGGGGATTGACGGTGTTCCTATCGAGACTCAGATCCAGGAACCATAATCTTGAAAGTTAGAATATTATCCAACAGGCAACTGAGTTTCAACAACCACCTCTCGTACAGTAGGCATCAGTCGTTATTCACTGATACTTGTAATTTCTTATTGAATTATAAGCTGGAACAAACTGATCGGTCTCTGTTGGCTTATAGTTCACTATATGGTTGCACTGATATGAACTGAAGATAACTCATAGTCTGACATCTTGACTTGGGTGCAAGAACATACAGCCGATAACTCTTAGATTTGAAGAAACGCATTTCCTGGATTACACTGCTGATCACCAATCAAATTGCATCGTAGTGAATCTTCAGGTAATATCAAGGCATTCATGTATGCGTTCATTTGGATTCAGTAAAACAACCATCATTAAATTACAAGTATTAATTAACTAATAATTTGTGCACGTTGAGGTTCCTTATTCAAGCTATACACCAGTGCAAGGAAATACAGAACAGCTGACGAAGTAGCGTGACATAATGACCTAATAAAAATATTGATTTCTATGGAGTCATTATCCAGTGCACGATTTTACTGACATTCGATGAACACAACTCCTGAAAACTAATTCTTGGTCTTAAAGTAGGTCTTTACTGATAGGTAGTTGCATCAAGTCTGAGGATTAAAATTGTATCCTCACTTAGGCAAACGAAGAAATATTCCCAGTGTGGTTTTCACCACTATTTGATATTAACTAACGAACTATTGAAAAGCTGAAGGACTTGAAAGCCATTTTGTTCTAGTTTAGGAACCTTCAGTGTCGTGCCCCCTCTACTGTGTGAGAAATTAGGCCAATGACAATGAGATTTCATGACAAACGTGTTACTTTGTTGGGTGGGAATAATATTAATCGCAGCAATTTGCCTAAATAACCGCTTTATTCCAAGCAATATGTATGATACAGTGTGGAGTTAGCAGCATGCAGCTTTTGAAAAAAAAACACTCTCAGAACAGTGTTTTCATACAAAATGGTTATCGCATCTAAATGATATTGATAATAGCAGCATTCAAAGTAATAATGTCAAACAGCCAGCTGGTTTTGGATTAGCGTCCGGTCTGAAGTGAAGAATCAACAGAAACGCGAGCGTAGGTTTGGTGTTGGCAGTTTATTCAGTCAGTACAAGAATGCGAAACTTAAGCCAAGTATCCAAAGGATAGAAATATGATGTACTTTTATGCACTGAAAAGTCCACTTGCATATTACGTGACACGTTTTATCTGTTTTGTTATTAACTCAAGAAACGGCAAGTTGGAAACATCTTTAAAATGTTATAGAGTATATTATACGTTCAGAGGACATATTTAGATAATTAAAACGAATCGAAAGGAAAAAAAATTGATACATGTGTTCGGTGGAAAATTTTGTAACCCAAGGTTCAAGCAGGTCACGCTGGTATTTGCTGATAGCATTGAAATATGGTCGCGATATACCACAAATCAACAGAAGTGGGATTTTGTGCACCACTGGATCCAGTGAATGAGTGATAATGTCCTCGCCAGAACACCTAACAGTCCTGGGCTCCATTCGTCATAGAACTATAAGTACTCATGATACAGAAGTTCCCAACTAAAGTGAATCAGCTGACCAGTACTTCCAGGTGTTTGAGCTGTTCTCTAAATGCGTTTTACTGTGGTAATAACGTTTACCCACCATTTTTCTTTCACTTCGTTAAGCTGATAATTGTATTCTTCATTTATCCCTATTATTGTTACATTTATTACTTTTTGAAGAAACATTGTTTTCATCTTGCCTTTCTTGATCTTATCATGTAATTGGCGATTAATCTATCGGTTCCATCCATTTTTACACACCTTTTCGAGTTTTGTACAGTTTTTGAACGATTCTATATATTATACAATCTACTTTTTCATTAACATTTCAACTGTCACTATGGTTATAAATAATTTGAGTCTTAATATCGTCATCGATTGTTTAGATTTCCACAGTGGATATAATTTTTCAAATATCTAAAGTATATGAATACAGAAAATGAGGATGAATTCTTTTGGAAAGAGTTTCAACGCTGAAAATCGAGTTCTTGCTATCTCAATAAAAATCATTGCATTACTCAGAAAATGTATTGTTTGGGATATTGGCATTTAAGTCAATCAGCAGTAGAGTATCGTCACCTATCGGTGTCACGTATGTTAGCCTATTCTTCTTCTCAAATTAAATACATCTGCAACCGGACAGTTGATTTACATGCTGAAAGCATTTTATATCATGCATTGAGAGATTTGTAGAATTAGAATTTTTTTGTGTGTACTACCGAACATCTTGAGTAGTTGGAAAGCACCCAGGCTGATCTGCAGTTTTCACCAGCCAGATTAGAGTGACCTAGTCACTGGACGACCTCTTTACCCGCTTTAGACTGAGCTCAACTCACAGAGTACCTGTATCTAGCCAGCTGTCTTGCATGGACTAGTATACTCTAAATAAGATGACTGATTTCTAAATGATTTAAAAACTGCATTACCCACGTTGACATTTTTCACCCATGAGTACTTTTTCAACCACCTAACTGATATGTTAACAGGTTTCCCATTGGAAACCTCTGAGGCAAGATCACAAAGTATCATTTCTGACACAAAATTGTCCTAAACCTGAATGGTTTTGAACCACTCAAGTTGATATCTTGATTTCGCTAGCCAGTAATTATCTTAAAACTAATACCTTCAATACAGAAAATGGTTACACAATAAAAGAATACAATGGAAGATTTACCAAATTTTAGATAGACCTCAAAATGTCTTTAGTTTTCATACTTACCGGTTGTGTTCAACAATGCATTCTTCATTGAATTCTGTATCTATTTTACCCGTCATATTTAATTAATAATACATTTAGAACGAAATGAAGTAATATTTGCTTATCGACTCTAAGTATTTATTATTGACGAAGAAAACGACTTCATATATTGCCCATTTTCTAATTAGACAACTACTGAAACTGATTATTTTATTTAACCAATAAGGTTTAAAGGAAAAAAGTCTTTAATTCTCACTAATATAATCTCATATTCAATCAGTTCTCATAGGCCGGATGTGAAGGTCATTTTTTAAATATACTATTGTGTATTAGAATGACAAAGTAAACGCAACTTTTAAAACTCTAGTGACTTTGTTCATGTGACTAGTTTGATGAATATACTTTCAATTTATCAACGTACCTATGTATCACTTTAGAATAAATAAATAAATATATGCGAAAAAAACAATACTTTTTCTGTATGTTAAATAAGAACAATAGCAGCTTTGGTGCGTACATTTGATGCTGTTAGCTTTTCCAGAATACAAAGAATTCTTCGTGCTTCATTGTTTTCTGTTTAGTTGTAGACCAAAGTAGGTATCCGATAATAAGTTGTTGCATAAATTTACATATTTACACAAAAAATGATCCACTTGAAGAAAACCAGAAGAGTGGAATTGTTTTTCGAAACGAAAAGTTTACGGATAAAGAAGTGATTATGTTAATAGAGTTGTTTACTGATTTTTATTAACGGTTGATCGTCCAAGAATTTACTAGAAATTGAATATCATAAGTAAATAGTTGATTAGGCGATCAGGGATAACTTTGCTGGGCTGAAGAATCCTTATGAACAGGTGGGTTAAAATTCAGTTTGAAGGTAAATTTGTTACCGGAAGGTTTGAATAATCTATCTCTGGGTTGTTACTTAAGTGTTGCATCAATATGGCTAAGCTTTATTGCTGCTGATTGGGGTTTTTAATATCATGTGAATCGTCACCTCTTTTGTGCGTTCATTTTATTAATAAAAAGTAAGTTCCCTCTAATTCTGATGAGATAATTAGTGTAACGAACCTCAAATAGTTGAGTGTCTCTCATTCCCATGGCAACGAGACAAAAAGCTTCCCTTAGTGTCATTGTATTCTCGAAGTTGTAGGGTTTAATCTCAAATTCTTCGTAGCAGTCTCAGATAACATCATCAGTAAAATCTGTTTTTAAGTAGCTGTACTGAAACTATTTGCACATATATTCCAATTGTTTGATTCCATGACCTAATTTTAACCGTGTCCCAGTTTGGACCAAGTAACCACATCACAGGTTATAAAGAAAAAAATATTAAACTAATTATGGGGAAATCTCAACAACTGTCTTCTTTTGAAGGTTGTATTACTGCTCTTGTCTGGAATGACAGACAGGGGTTCACAAGTAGATTGGCTGATCCATAGACCACGGGATCATCAAAAGTACTCTGAAGCTAAAAACATTCTAAAGTATATCTAAATTCTGCAAGGACGAAATGTCCCACGAGTGATACTAAATATGAACTTACAACTCAGTCAGTTGAGCATTCAGACTGAGATTTAGAAACTTTGCTTGAGTTTTTGTATCTGTTTGAGTTCATTCATCACTGTCGCAAATAATCCTAGTTCATAGCTGAAAGAAATTTTAGTTAACGAAATAATGTTTTTTGTTTATTGACAAAGAAAACGAGTTTTTTCAGCAAAACCTTTCCAGTAACTTCCTTATGATGGTTCACTGTCGTATTTATACTTCTTAGAAAGTCAATTGCACTGAAAAAAATTTGTAGTTATTAATATATTAGGGGGACTCTAAATGCACACAATTTAAGGATACTCACTGAAATAGCAAAATTGATCTCGAAAGGTAAGTGATGGATCAAATATTGTTGATACAGTGAGAAATAATCAAAGTTATAACAAAGCTAACCGATTAAATTGTCATAAAATTTGTTTTAAAAATAATACTATTAAAACTAGTGGAGGGCAAAAAGTTTCAAAAAGCGTTTTTGAATAGTTGAAGTTTTTCATCATTTATGACTAGTACTTCGGCTATTCATAACTTCGGAAGACAAAAACGTTTGTTATAGTTCAGTTTACCCCCTTGAGATCACCTTAACAGATAAATCATACGATGAATAACTTGACTTCATTAATTGTTCATAGATGAGTGTTGTTGTTAACCTAGGCTCATGGTTAGATAACCGACACACCTTATGTAGCCAGCTCTACAATAATGTTTTCAATGACGATCGCACAAAGAAGTGAAAATAAGCGATGAACTACTTTTCCTACATTGTCGAATCAATCACCAACTCGAGAATTTCCCGATCATTCTTTCAGAATAGGAATTACTTTTGATACATTTATATTGGTGCTCTCCCATTGTCAGCCACTCTGTATCTTTATAACCTCAAATCCGTAATTAGATGTTTACCTGAAACCACGACTGGTTGGAAGACAAGTTATCTCTTCGAGTTTCTACGAAAACGTTTTCTTCGATATCTCCTGTTTAAAACTGTTGTACAAAGAAGTTTAGGTTCTTCATTAAGCGTAAACTGAGAGTAAATTTTCGAGATTTCCGAAAGCAGCAAATGAAAAATAAAGATACCGTTTCCTTTTAGTTGCATCTAACTGTCAAAGTTGGTTGGACGACTGATAAATCTAGACTGATTTACAATAGACTAGCGTCTGAAATAATTCGCCATTCTTTCTGTTCTAAGTCACGTTAAGAAGTGAAGTGTGTGATTTATTTCATCCTTCACAGTGAAATTTGTGGATAGTTGACAATTACGGAATCGTTCAGAAAATTCGTAAACCAAATAGCTTTTCTTGGATATGATAACTATCCTCTCCGCATGGGACTCTTCAGTTGTGCACCAGAGGTTCACAGGTGGGGACTACACAGAAGTCTCGTACTATAACTAAACGACTGTCCATTGCTCCCAAGTTTTCAATAGTTCTACAGCTGATGTTAATCTATGCTGAATACCAACTTGGAACTAATCAATTATTTTATTCAGAATATACACAATGAAATCACTTATGATGTGATATTATTAGGAATAGCAGATATCTTGAGTGTGATAATTTTATTTGCTATTGTGTCTTTAAAATTCACTCCTACTGTCTTTAATATTGTCTTCATAAATAAGTTTTTTCTTTCAATAGAAAATAATATATTTATTCAAGTAACTGGAATTAAACCCATTTCTGGGTAATATTTATCAGATCATATACACTGAGATTATAAACAGACAAGCTGTTATTAGATTCATTGAGATTATCTGAAAATAGCTGGAAATTTGTGAAGCATAACCTACACATAGCCAAACTATTACATCAACCGTTTTTTCTAAAATCTTAAAAGTTACTTGACAACCTGATGAGTTTTATGCGTTTACTGCCAAGAACAGCAGTCAATTAGAAGGTTGGAATTAAACCTGTATATCTAGAAAATAGGCCACTGAATGATCCCCAACTACCCTGTTAAAGAACATATATTTAACATACCAACTGTGGATATGTCCTGTTCGATTATTTAAGACACTGAATAATTTAATCGAAAAATAGTCTTTTTATATAACTCCATTACTACTTCAATACAAACGAAATGATTGAGTGGTCAATATGAAATCATTTCAAGTTTACGCTAGTCCGTATGATCGTAAAACCTGTCTTTTATTAGTTTACTTACTTGAACTATTCGGTTTCTTTAAAATCGCTAATATTTTGCCTTTGACTACTATGGTTCTGAAGATTTGGAAATATTAAGTCGAAGTTTTGCTTACCTTTTCAAAAGATTTTGCTATACTCTGTACAATTGATCCTCCAGAATTATGTGACCATTTTTTGGCTGATTTAAATGCTGAAAACGTTTGACATCTTTAGTGCACTATCTGTCTATCCATACAGTCTACCTACATGACTCCATAAATGTATGTGGAAGTGTAGAGTAATGTTAGCATTTATCTAGGCTGCGCAATCACCACTTCAGTTTGAAAATGAATCTAAAGACTAGTTTTTGAATGCTGTTTGTCGACAATCTGATATTTTTTTCATTTAGACGTATTCAACCACTGGAGAAATGGACAGATTCAACTCAAGAGAAGTTATTAGATAGTAACGCCATAAGATGTTATAAAATTATGTCATATATTGTTGCGAACTATGGATTTTATAAACTTGAATACAGCAGCTATAGTTCATGAACAGCCATGGTAGATGAGATTAATAATAGAATAATAAGTGAAAGCTGTCAAATACTCAACCTTTTGTCACATCAGAATAAGGTACTATATGTAGATAATGAATAAGTGATCTAAAATCCTTCAGTTTATCAAATTGTTCATAACTTATTCTTGATAAATTCCACATATCTAAAGTATTTTCAATTAGGTGGCTCAGTTTATGTTTTCACCCTTCAGGAAGTGATAATATCTTGACATATTATAGATTTTCCATTATTTGGAAAAAAACCTCTTGAAAGTAGGGGACAAGAGAAGACAAAAACAGTGAATAAAATAATTTGTTTTCAACAAATCCGTTCTTTTAGCTGTACACTTGTAAATATATATTGGAAAGGATAGGAAGTTCTAAAGTAATTCCGGTCAAAGTAGACTGGATGAAATAGGAAACATCATATATTGAAAATATAGGAATAAACATGATTAGTTCAGTCTTTTGGACCGTAACATGAGGAGAAGAATTGATGGCATGATTTAGAAGACCTTCTGCAGAAAAGACACAGAATGGACAATACCTTAACTATAACGGTTTCGGTTCTGCCAGTTATAAACGAGGACTAAATGAAGCACTTTATGACAGAGCTGGGAACTTATGTTCAGCGTACAAGTTAGTGGAAGAACGAAACAGTTTTGAGAAAAGAAATGTTTTAAGCGATTTATTTTGAAGTGTGGAAAAGAACAGATTGAGAGGAATAAATACCCAGCTGTTAAAAAGAATCAGATTTCTGTTCACCTTGTATTCAAGGAAGATGTAACATCTAAGAAAATAGACGCAAGAATCAACGAAGCCCTGAGAAGTTTTCCTGTATCTAAACT